GGCTCGCAGAGGGCGGAGTGCGGCCAGGGGCGGAGCGGGACCGTCACGGGGAGGGGGTCGAGCGTCTCTGGCCCTTGGTCCCGGGTGGCTCGGCCCGGCGGCCGCTTTGTGGGGTTCTAGCCGCTTCTAGCAGCCCCCGTTCCTGCGGAGCCTGGTCTTCCCGGAGATTCCAGGGTCGGGTGCTTGGTAACCGCCTGTTCCGTCACGGCGGCCGCAGGAGGGTCCAGTGGAGGACGGGGACGAAGGACGGCGCGACGGCCGAGCGGGGGACGCGAGCTGGGCAGAGGTCATTTAGATAGGGACTTTTTAAAAAAATACATATTTATTGACTTCAGAGAGGAAGGGAGAGGGAGCGAAAGAAACATCAATGAGAGAGAATCATTGACGGCTGCCTCCCGCAGGCCCCCTACTGGGGACGGAGCCGGCAACTCTGGCACATGCGCCTGCCTGGAATCCTACCGGGATCCTTCAGTCCCCCGGTCCTGGCTCTACCCATTGGACCACACCAGCCAGAGCAGGGGGTCTTTTCAAGACACCGGGAGGAGGGGGCCGGAATGGAGGCGCTGCCGTCGGTGGTGCCACCGCCGCTAGGAGCCAGGGCCTGACGCGGCCCATGGGCAGCCAAAGGAGACCGGCTCCTAAGACAGTGACGCCCCCAACGCCTTCTGACCAGGGTTGGGTTTGGAAAGCGGGTTGGCGATGGTGATGGGTCCATTCTGCCAGCGCGGCCACCACTCGGAGTGCCCAGACTCGGCCCCACGGAGGGAGGGACCTGGGGGGCTCCGGGGCCCCAGCCTCGGCCAGCCCGCTGGCCAGCATGACCTGGGTTGAGTAGCAGGCGTGATATGTGAGGGCTTCCTGGGCCATCACAGGGGGAGCCAAGTTCAGGATGAAATTAGTGTCTTTTCTATCTTTGGTAACTAGCGTTCTGAAGTATGCAAGGCCTCTCACAGCTGAACCTGGTTGAACCGGGTTTTAACCTCAATATCTTGCTTCCCCAGCTGGGAGCTTGTGCCGCATGGCGGGTGACACCTACGGGGGTTTTCCAGGGAGGGAGGTTCCTGGGATGAGGGCCTTTCAGTGCTGAAATGGGGCCATGCCCGCTGGGACCCTGGCACCACTGGCAGGATAAATAGTGCCTGTCTCCTCCTGAAGCATCAATTTAACTCTAAGATCCTAGGAGTTCGATTTATGTAAATACATCTTCTTGATTTTAGAGGAAAAGAGAAACATTGATTTGTTGTTCAACTTATTTATGCATTCATTGGTTGGTTTTTTATGTGCCCTGATTGGGGATCGAACCCACCACCTTGGCATAGCAGGAGGACGCTCTAACCAACTGAGTTACCCAACGAGGGCCGATAAATATATTTTTTTTAAATATATTTTATTGATTTTTTACAGAGAGGAAGGGAGAGAGATAGAGAGTTAGAAACATCGATGAGAGAGAGACATCGATCAGCTGCCTCCTGCACATCTCCCACTGGGGAGGTGCCTGCAACCCAGGTACATGCCCTTGACCGGAATCGAACCTGGGACCTTTCAGTCCGCAGGCCGACGCTCCATCCACTGAGCCAAACCGGTTTCGGCAGTATTTTTAAAATATTAATACCAAGAGGTATTATTCCAAATGCACAATTTGCATAAATTTTGAGAGAAGATAACCTCGAGGACATGCCTTGTTCTTTCTTCAATCTACGCTCAGTGCAGTGGGTGGGAATTCAAGCAGCACTGCTCTGATGTCCCAAACTCTCAGCATGTCTCTCCTCTCCTAGTGTAAGGGAGGAGTGCAGGGGCTCCTCTGCGGATGCAGTGCCTCCACCTCCACTCTCCGGGGCACCTAGCAAGTTACTCAGTCCCTGTAATGTGCTGGAACCCATCTTTGGCTGGTGTAAATGATCAGGTGCGAGAGTGGACGTGCTATATCCCAGCTCCCCTTCATCTTTCAGTTTGTACTAACCTCACCTGAAGGACTAAAACAGCTATGTCATTTTCAAACCTGGTTTTGTCACAGCAGTCCCCTGGGAAGTTCTGTCAAATTAGCAGCAGTTCACTCAGCTGCAAAGCAAGGTTGTCAATTACACAGAAGAAAACTAGTCTGACAGTAAAGCACCAAACAACTTGAGGGGCTACGGATGTCCAAATCAGCTGCCTCCAAAACCCACCCTCTTCACGTGCGGCATCACAAAGCCAGTTTAGCTTACCCCACGGGAGAGCTCGGGGATACGTGAGTGTGTGGACTCCTCAGAAGGTGCCAGCCCAGTACGGGCACTCTGCCAGGAATGCAGGGAGCGGGGGAGGCAACGGATGAATACTTACTTTTCAGCAACTAGCCTTTAAACAAAACTCTGAGTGGCCTTGCTGAATGGTCATTACAGATGTTGAATTGTGACAGTCAGCCGCAACCTCCAAATGCAGTATTTAATACAAGAGACAGAATATCAAACTATATTTACTGTTTACAGTAGTAAAGGACAACAAAGAATGTACAAATTGTGAACAAACAGCAGAGCCAGCAGACACCACATCCACACCCCAACAGCAAAACCAAAGGAAAGGCAAGATTCCGGGCAAGCAAGAGATGATGGTCCAGGTCGCACTGTCCGGGTACCAGGAGGCAGAGCAGGGCCCTCAGGCAGCAGGGGTTCCATACAGAAGGGCAGGAGGA